CCTGGCCTGTATTATAATAGACCTGACCTGTATTATAATAGACCTGGCCTTGTATTAATAGACCTGACCTGTAGACCTGGCCTGTATATAATAGACCTGACCTGTATTATAATAGACCTGGCCTTATTATAAGAGACCGACCTATATTATAATAGACCTGGCCTGTATTATAATAGACCTGACCTGTATTATAATGACCTGGCCTGTATTATAATAGACCTGACCTGACCTGTATTATAATAGACCTGGCCTGTATTATAATAGACCTGACCTGTATTATAATAGACCTGGCCTGTATTATAATAGACCTGACCTGTATTATAATAGACCTGACCTGTATTATAATAGACCTGGCCTGTATTATAATAGACCTGACCTGTATTATAATAGACATGGCCTGTATTATAATAGACCTGACCTGTATTATAATAGAACTGGCCTATATTATAATAGACCTGACCTGTAGACCTGGCCTGTATTATAATAGACCTGACCTGTATTATAATAGACCTGACCTGTATTATAATATATCTGACCTGTATTATAATAGATCTGACCTGTATTATAATAGACCTGACCTGTGTTATAAATGTAATTCATTACAGTTACTAGTTACCTGTCTAAAATTGTAATCTGTAACGTAACTTTTGGAATACCCAAAATCAGTAATGTAATCAGATTACTTTGTTAATTTTGGACTATTTTCCCTTTAAGAGGCATGAGGGAAGACAAAAATGATCCCTCAAAGGCATTTGATGACATCATAGTGGTTTCTGAAATCATGGTGTTCTCTGACATCATAGTGGCTCTGACATCATAGTGGTCTCTGACATGATAGTGGTCTCTGACATCATAGTGGTCTCTGACATCATAGTGGTCTCTGACATCATAGTGGTCTCTGACATCATAGTGGTCTCTGACATCATAGTGGTGTCTGACATCATAGTGGTCTCTGACATCATAGTCAGACTAACTCAGGTGGAACAGACATAAAGCCTTTTTTCAATGCTTTATTGAATGTCAGATTACAAAATATTTTTGCTGGTAACGTAACCGATTACAGGTAAAGTTTTTTTTGGTAATCAGATTATATGTAATCAGTTACTCCCCAACCCTGTGTGCGTGTGTGTGTGCGTGTTTACGTGTGTGCGTGTGTACAGTACACCAGAACCATCTACAGTCTGCTGTCTGTTGAACTAGATCCAACACCAGAACCATCTACAGTCTGCTGTCTGTTGAACTAGATCCAACACCAGAACCATCTACAGTCTGCTGTCTGTTGAACTAGATCCAACACCAGAACCATCTACAGTCGCTGTTGAACTAGATCCAACACCAGAACCTCTACAGTCTGCTGTCTGTTGAACTAGATCCAACACCAGAACCATCTACAGTCTGCTGTCTGTTGATCTAGATCCAACACCAGAACCATCTACAGTCTGCTGTCTGTTGAACTAGATCCAACACCAGAACCATCTACAGTCTGCTGTCTGTTGAACTAGAAATAAAGTTTATGGAGGACCATAAATAAAAACATTTGGTCAGCAAGTAGTGAATTCACAGATGAAAGACATCCAAATGCACAACATCAAACAGTCACAGAAGTCAATACCATTGTAGTCATGAGACACTGCATCTCATTTACCAACGGTGCTTTTTCAAGCTGTCCTTCTGAGTCAGTAACAAAGGCATGTGAATCAATATGCTCTGAATGGGTTAGATATTCAGATGCAGACACACGCTCACGCAGGCAGCCCGGCCGAGTGGGGGGGGGGGGGGGGGGGGGGGGGGGGGGGGGCGGCAGAAGAAACCACAAGAAGACGTAGGGGTGGGGTATAGAGAGGGGTGATGATGTCATCTCTTGCGGCTCAGATCTGAAGCGTGTGTGGATAAACTGAGCTGGGTTTGATGATAATGGGGACATTTCAGGAGAGATGATGTCATCTTTCCACCACTAGCCACCCTCTCATTCCTCTCTTTCTATCTCTCTCTCCTTCCTTCCCTCTCTCTTTCTTTCTCCTTCCCTTGCTCTCCCTCCCTCCCTCCCTCTCTCCCTTCCCCTCCCTCCCTCCCTCCCTCCCTCCCTCCCTCCCTCTCTCCCTTCCCTCCCTCCCTCCCACCCTGGGGGGTGGGGGTGTGTGTGTGTGTGGGGGGGGGGCTTAGTTCTTCCATCCTTGTGGGGAGCTAAAATCTCCAATAAAGTTATTCTATCAAAACATTTCTGGGACTTCACAGCCCTTCAGAGTTCTTCTATCAAAATGTTTTCATCCAAGCAGCTGTTGTTTCAGTCTCTGAGACTTTTTTCCTCCCCTAAAATATATTTGTTTATTTTGACAGTTACATTCTCTTTTTTTTTTTGCAGACGCTCTTATCCAGACCGACTTACAGGAGCAATTAGGGATAAGTGCCTTGCTCAAGGGCACGTCGACAGATTTCTCACCTATTCGGCTCGGGGATTAGAACCAGCGACCTTTCGGTTACCGGCACAACGCTCTTAACCACTAAGCTACCCGCCACCATACATTGTAACTGTGAAAGCTGCTTCTGCCCCAGAGGACAAACACACATATGAAGCTGTCAGAATCTTCTGATTAATGTGTAGTGATACAAACCCATTGTGGCTAATATCAATCTGAAGACATGATCTGTACCTAATACAATTAGGAGTATGTCTACCACATTACATGTTGTCATTAGACGAACCACCGGCACCATACTTTTCACTTTGCCCCATAAGTGCTAATATCCTATTGAGGGTAACTCTAGTACTGTACAGCATATATCTCCTATTGAGGGTAATTCTAGTACTGTACAGCATATATCTCCTATTGAGGGTAACTCTAGTACTGTACAGCATATATCTCCTATTGAGGGTAACTCTAGTACTGTACAGCATATATCTCCTATTGAGGGTAATTCTAGTACTGTACAGCATATATATCCTATTGCACTTCTCATGCATGACTTCTGTACTGAGGAATGTGTTTGTTTTTCATGATCCTGTTATGTAAGTTATTATTCTTAAATTGCTTGTAAATAATGTGTTTTTATTGCGTTGCAATTGTAAATATTGTCAATTTGTATGATTGTGTGCATAGTAGTTTGGGGGTGGGGGTGCTGCGACCTTTTTTCTTCAACAGGTGGTTGGGGGTGGGAAAAGGGTTTTGACGGCTATATGGGTCCACTAATATAGGACTATTAAAGGCCCCCCCCCCCCCCGTGCACTACTTTTGTGAAGAATTACTTTAAGAAATATAAATATTCAGGGGGTGTTGAGGATGCTGCAGAAGACTGTGCTTTTCAGCTAACAAAATGTTGAATTTGGGGGGTACAAT